CCCCCCCCCAAACCTCTTTCTTTTCCGCCCCTAATCAGTGGCGTCGGTATGTTAAGTCTCGTAATCATGAGGTTGCGGGTTCGGGGGCTCGAGCCTGTGAAAGGCTCTTTAGGTCTGCGCGAATTTTCCTCACTTCACCAAGGTGGGAATGAGTATCCCGCCATAGACAACGAAAGATCTTGTCAGTAAATAAATGATGTATGTGTTTTAGCGCATATAAAATAGTAGCTTGAACGGTATGCTTTCCAGAAAGTTTAAGAATGCTATCAGGTCTTCTGAGGCAATGATATAAATTGTAAAGCGCATATAGAGCTTGCTGTTGAATGGGGATTTGCGCTATACAAAAGGTGTCTATTATTATTATTATTATTATTATTATTATTACTATTATTAGTATTATCAATTGTCACACGGATGTAGAACCCCCTCCCTTTAACCCCCCGTGGACATCCCGGTTTTTGTTGGGAGTGTTCTCTTTTTCCGCAGAAGCTGTTCGATTTACATCCCGGAAGCTTTGGTCGTTTGCATTACGGACTTAATCTGTGGTGCGAAGATGTTCGTTCTGATTCTGTACACTAATTAGTCGCCTTTAGGCTCAAGGGGCTATCCCAAAAATGCTGTTTTGAGAAAATCGAAGGTAAAGTTTTTGGACCCTTGCTCAGTTTCTTTAAAAGACAGGACAGTTTTCTCTATAACCAAGCCAATACACACACCAATTAAACCAAACTTCTCCTATAGGTAGAGCAAAGCCCACTTTCAGTGTAGGTCAAAATTTCTGGGAATCCCGGAAATCTGGGTTAGCCCGCTTGTCCTCAAAAGCGACCAATTATCAAACGCAATCGACAGACCAATAACGAAGATCCCTGATCCTACACAGCCACTCTAAATGATATATCCGGGGAGAAATGGGATGTTCCGTGAACATAATTATCTTTTAAATCACTTAAACCACTTTAGACTTGTAACACTCCCAAGATTAAGTAGTTCTTTATTTTTTGTAGAACTCCTGGTGGGCTAACCGATCTCTTCCGTTCGTATAAAGCAGGTCAGGACCTTGATCAAAATCACATTTTCGGAAGTATCCAAAGAGGATAATCTGCTATAGAGCTTGTACTTTTTTTCATTCTTGCTCATAAACGTGTTCTTTCTACGAGTGCGATATACCATTACCACGGGTAAGATGAAAACTCTGATAAGTTTTAAAACGTTAATCTACTTCTAGGTTTTGATATTAATTTGTGAAACAACTTCGGATAGTACAGGGTTCTTAGACAGGTCTTGTAACTTCGATTTGATGCGTATGTGTTGTATGGCGGTGAAATCAGGAGTTCGTCTAGGCAATTTTTATCATATATATTTTTCCTCCATTTATACCCATTTAAAAAGACGTCGGTCATAGACACAGAAAATCTAAACTTACAGTTTTCAAAAACTGGACATCTCGCTAACGTTACCTATGACACCACGAGACCCCCACCTCATTCAATCGCAGATATCTCGACTTCTATTCAAGACAGATGGATATTTGTTCCATCAAAAGCAAGGCAGATACCATGAAACTTGTTAGCTTCTCAGTGACTCATTCTAAAAGCTTAATCTGATACAGCAGCGTGTGTTCTTCGTACTACTCTGCTGCTCACGATCTTGTCGTGGCATCTGTTGTTGGTTTTTTTTGGGCCGATCGCCAAATATGCAAAACCAGAATGTGATCTCACTGACACACACCACAATCTTCCACTGTCATACCGATATGAAAGTGAGTGAGGTGGTTACCTTATAGGCCATCTACATAAAAACAATACGGTGCAATACTCTACAGTGCTGTTAAACAATGCGACAATTATATCAGTAGCTCAGAAAGGTGGGATTCTGAACTGTTCCTGTTAGTGTTAGTGATCTCTTTTTGGTGCATCGGAAACAACGCTTGGAAGGTGCGCTGAATACGTTCTTTGTGATAATGTACTTTACATTGACTTTATATCATGGGGGTTTTTTTTCCTACTTTATTTTCATTATTTACCCTTAATGTTATACAATGTGCAAGTAAACGAACTTCTTTCGAGTGATTAAGTGAACTTCACGATGAAAATGATAAGTTATTGTGCTTTATCCTCTACCTATTTTGACCATCGTTACTTAAATGACACCGGCGTCTGTGATGTAGTGGTTAGGAGCTTCGCTGTCGCACACAGGAGACCAAAGTGTGATTCAGGAGTGGGGATAGATTTTTATATTGTACCCAAGGAGGTTTTAAGCTCCTTGGTTGTACCCCTCTCAGCCCGGGTTGGCCCTGACAGGCCTGCCTCCTGAATGATCTAAAGTATGTCGATTGGGGCGTAAAAATACCTACTTTAAAGATGTATTATTACTTTCTTGGTTTTGTGGGGGATGTGCTCAGTGTGCTTCTGTTAAAAAATGCGGTAGTGTCTTCAGAATCTGGCAGGTACACACAGTTAAACAACACAATTAACCGGGTGAACTTGAGTTTTGTGAACGCTTGTTTTTGGACTGCTCTGAGATGTTTCGATATTGAAGGAGGGAGGGTTGTTAGTTTGTTTGTTTAATTGCTTGTTTGTTAACTTGTTTCTCTTGTTGGGGGGGTGGGCTGGGCTTTGTTTTTATTTTGTTGCCTTTTTTAAAGAAGAAATGAGGGATGGGAACATTATTTACAAGACTTTCTTTTCCTCTATGTTGTATATCATGGACATATTTAAATATGTGTGCTCAATTCAAACTCCAACACAAACACCTTCCCCTCATCTTGTCTGTACGTTATGGACATAGTTTTTTGTTTTCATCTCCCCCAGGACTGAGCCAATAGATAACTGTTCCTGCTTCGAGATTAAGGGACTTGATATTATTTTCAGTTTTAAAATTATGCTAGTAAGTAAAAAGAAAAATAATTCGAACCTATATTGTCTGATCTTTTAACACATGCATGCAAATGTTCAAGACAGGCTACGGAAATAAGGCATGCACGCGATCAATACAGACTACGAACACAATTCATACTTGAATTGTTTGTTTTAGTTATGTGTTCCTCTTAACACAGGCATGCAAGTGTTCAAGACAGACTACGAAAATAGCTCGTTCCTAAACTATTTTTCTTACTGATATTTACCTCTTCACACAGGCATGCAAGTGTTCAAGACAGACTACGAGCCGTTCTACAACGCCCTGTACAGTTTTGTCACACAGCTCCCCTCACATCTCAGCCCCAGCGCCCCTCCCGAACTCTCCAGTAAAGTAGGCGTCCTCGCTCGCATCCTGCCCCTTAATGACCCTTCCTTCAGTAAAGGAGACGTGAAGACGTTAGGGAAAAAGTTCTTCATTGTACACGACGTTCTCAACAAGCTGTTGGAGCTTGGCCCCAATGAGGTGACGGAAGATTCTTTGAGCTGGTTCTCCACCGAGTCAAGCACACTTCTTTTACAAATGTTTTCAGTCAAACTTGCTCTGGCCGGTTTACAGCTGGGCGAATCATCCGACGTCTCGGGTGAGTAACTGTCAGAGTGTACACGGGATGAATGAATGAATGAGTGAGTGAAAGAGAAAGTGAAAGAATGAATGAATGAATGAATGAATAAATGAATGAATGAATGAATGAATGAATGAATGAATGAATGAATGAATGAATGAATGAATGAGTGAGTGAGAGAATGAATGAATGAATGAATGAATGAATGAATGAATGAATGAATGAATGAATGAATGAATGAATGAATGAGTGAGAGAGTGAATGAATGAATAAATAAATGAACAAATGAATGAATTAATTAATTAATTAATTGATGAACGAATGAATGAATGAATGAATGGGTCGATGGATGGATGGATGGATGGATGGATGGATGGATGGATGGATGGATGGATGGATGGATGAATGGTCGGATGGTCGGATTTCAGAACCTTTATGGATCTCTGGTAAGAAAGTGTGGAATTGTATAATGTGTTTATGAGTATTCATCAGTTCATTTACATATCCATCCAATGATCTATCTGGGCATCATCGATCTGTCTCTCACTTATAATTGTGTCCCCTTTATTATTCATCCGAATTTTTGTCAAATATCATATCCAAGACCATTAATCAAGCTATCCCTGAATCCATGTCGCGCGCCCCTTTAAGCTGTTGGTGACAAAAAAAGTGTGGGCATCTTTCACAATCAAGCAACTGCGTGACCTTACGTTAGCTGTTTTATTTTTAAGCAAGACTACGCTGCAAACTATTTAGAAGACAACAGATGCTGATCATATTATTTTTGCCTCACTGATTTCTATATTTTAACCAATGATTTATCTACATGTGTGACTTGCTTGTCTGTCTTCCAGTCATATCGGCGGGCATTGGCGGTGTCAACCCTGGCGTGCAGCATTCCATCGGGTCCGCGTAAGTTGACTTTCTTTGCTCCTTAACACTTATTAACAGTACAAATAGATGGGCTCCATGTTGCTCCAACTTGGGACAGCATGTGGGCCCCTTCTGATAACGTCACCACGAGCCAAAGGGTTTTTGTACAAGGGCAAAAGATCGAGCCCATTGTGTGTCGGCTCATAACAAGACCATCTGAAGCCTACATTTTCCTGATAAATTCAACATGATATCCCTGTATCCACTCCACTCCACTCAGTTTTCAACAACAAAAAAATCCAACACTTAAATGTGGGGATCGTGAAGTTCCCTTAATACAAATCGGGGCTTCAGCTAGACTCGACCTAGGCAAAACGAAACATAGGACAGTAACGATGTTACTAATATATCTGGCCAATTTTAACTTGTTGGGATGCAACCAATGAAACGTTGGAATAAAGCTTTCTAAGAAATTCCTGAACTATGCTAACTCTTCTTGTAGCTTATCATATCTTGCGAAGACAGATTTATCAAAGGTATTGCGCAATTGTCCCTTAAGATTGTAATCAGCAATTGGCTGAATGAAAAGCACAAAGTCGATCCCGGCTTAAAATTGTATTTAAAGTGTGTTCTGTCTATCAGCGGTGTCTCCTAGCAATTACTCTTAGGGCACAGAAAATCAGCTGAAAAAGAGATACTACTGGGACGTTTTGTGTCGAATAAGAATTGTGCGGTAAGCTTGAACAAAGATTGCGATATTTAAATCCAGTGAGACTGAAATCACAATTCAAGTTTGTTATATTTAGCAAGAAACCTTTTAGCTTCTTCTACATGTGTAAAGTAAAGCATCTTAATAAACAGATATTGCGTTCAAGACAGAAATCAAGTTTGCCAAAATGTCTTAATGTTATATGTATATTGTGTGTATTGATGCGAAAGGGTTAATGTTCAAACAATGATAATATAATTTGATCTTCTTGCTTTTGTTGCTCCTGTCTTAAACATGACGTCATGTGGTTAGTACAAGGAGGTGTGCTTTGTTTGTTTCCTGCTTCCTTCAGTTTTCAGTTTTGCCTTTTTTTAGCTTTTGAAACTGGGAGAATTTAATTAAAGGTCAACCGAAAGGGGGGAAATGGCACATTCCAAATTACATCTGCTTATTATACTTGTATGAGAGGGATAAGTTGCTATGCTCCACTGCCTAACAAGGCGGACAACTCTCTCTCTCTTGGACTCCATGGGGACCCTTCATAAACCAGCATCACTAGATGATCTCTTAATGTGTGACTTTGCCCTATTATGTTAGTCTAAAGGATATGAGGATAGTAAAATGCGTTATCGTAGACAGACAGACAGACAGACAGACAGACAGACAGACAGACAGACAGACAGACAGACAGACAGAGAGTTGGATAGATAGATCGATAGATCGATATATCAATAGCTCGATAGATCAATAGATAGAGCCTGAATGCACAGACATGACTGCCATCTGACGCTTTTTTTTCCTGGTATTTTATTTTGCTGTTGTTTGTGATTGCATGGAGGTCTTGAAACCACAAGCTCGAACCGGCTTTTGAGAGCAATGAACGCAACACTTTGCTACCTCTTGGTATAATGGGATATGGTTCGATACTCACTGATCAAACATCCTCTGCTGTTATCTCAATCTCCATCTCCAGTGGGTATCGCTATCACAGATAACCAAACCATCTACAAGCTTTTCATTTTTTCTCACAAGCAAAAGATTTTTTCAACACAAAAGAGGACTAGGGGAGGGGCAACAATCGACAGCTTTTCACTTCAAACAATTTCCTGTCAGAGAGATGCATGTTTTGCTTTTTGTCGTCACCCCGTTCCCCTTCAATGCTTGGTGAAATGTACATTGTTGTCATTTGCATGCAAAAAGGGTGTCAACGCGGCATTAAGCATGCCTTTTTACCTTAAAGCAAACTGCTGATTTTTCAATTAATGCAAGCAACTGTAAGAGTTTCTCTAGTCAAAGGTTCCCTAAAGGAACACAGAATTCCTTTCTCTTGTGAGTATAACTTAGCTACTTTTCTCGACCTACCGTACAAGTTCAAGTTTCAGTGACAAAAGATGTTGTCAATACCTGTACTTTAAAGCTAGTCCATCTCCTTAATACAGTGTTCTAAAACATCGTTTGCATTTAATTCCAGACCCAACTTCAATTGTGCAGTCATATATTTGATAATTTGTTCATCTAGGGCGTGGTCTTGGCTTGGTTCCATGCCACTGTTTCGATATAGACGGGCAATATAACTGTTGGCTAGCACTAGATCTAGATCATAACTACCAGTGAGGCAATATTAGAGAGCCCAAAAACGTCATGTACTTGTTAATCTTGCGTACGTGTTTTACTTTGGTAAGTTCTTTGAATTTAGTTTGCAACTGTGGCCCTATGTTGTTACACCAGAGACAAATATCAATCTTTCACTGTTCTGTCTTTCTTTCAGAAACATTCGGGACCTCGGAAAGCTGATCTCGGCATTGAAAAGCTTAATAAACTCTGGAAGTTGAGTTGAACACCTGCACCAACCAGTGTCGACGTCTTCTTTATTGTTCTCAAAAATGTGTATATTATTTGTCTCATGTGAACAAGTGATATGTCAACCCTTAGTCATGATATGATAATATGTGAATTATGTAAATAGAATGTGAGGTGCTACAATCATGGTGTAACTTTCAGAATAATGAACTGGGCAGTATACGTTTAGTGGCAATGATGGATTGGAGGTGGAGACGTAAGGGTTGGATGAGTAATCGATCTTCCAACTTGGCTGATTCTGGAAGTAGAGTGTAATGCGTAGTAAAATATCTTACAGAAAGGTGTCATTAATGATGTTAACAAGGTGACTCTGCGTAATATATTCATTATGTCCCCTTGTAATGAATCGACAGCGAACACTTCAAAGGCTGTTCCACGCATTCATGTAATGTAGACTTAACTAACATTGTACGTGATGCTATTGTTTTTATTCAGAAGTATCCCATTTATCCAGCTTCCAGTTTATCTGCTATCTCGTTCCATGAACCTTTCTCATGAAGGTTCTCCACCTTTGTGTGTACACGAGATGAGAATGTTGACAACGATTGCGGATTTCAAATAAGTCACCCGCCCTGAGTGTTCGGAATCCAGAGTTCTCTTATGATATATATAATTTTGGTTCACTCATCCTTACGCGTCACACATGCACTATAATCAGTTGCACATCGAAAAGGTCGCACGATATTATTCCTTAGAAAAGGGATATCACAGAAACTTGTTGGTTATACACTGGTGCCTCGGTGTCTCACTCGTATCAAGAATAGCCTTATTAACACAGTACCTCGATTTTTAGAGGAAAAAAGTCCTGATACCTGATGGGGTTCTAACTCGTCATAGTCTAAATTATGATCTCAGATAAAATACTATTATTCCAGTTTGAGCGTGTGCACTCAAGCTTGTGCTTGCCAGGGAGTGGATGCATCGCGCTCGTGTATGTGTGTGCAAGTGTGTGTGTGTGTGTGTGTGTGGGGGTGTGTGTGTGAGTGTGTGTGTGTGTGTGTGTGTGTGTGTGTGTGTGTGTATGTGTGTGTGTGTGTCTGCGTGCGTGCGTGCACGTATGTGCGCACGCTCGCGACTGGTTTGTACTGTGTGTGTGTTTTGGGGCGGGAGGGTGCAATCAGATGTGATACCGTATCTCTCTCTCTCTCTCTCTCTCTCTCTCTCTCTCTCTCTCTCTCTCTCTCTCTCTCTCTCTCTCTCTCTCTCTCTCTTCTTTTTTTCTTTTTTTCGTGTGTTCTCCCTCCCTTCCTTTCTTTCTTTCTGTCTTTCTCTCTCCCCCTCTTTCTTCCTTTCTTCCTTTCTTTCTTTCTTCCTCTCGACCTTTTTCTCATTTGCTCTCTCCCCTTTTTATCTCATCTTTCTCTCTGCTAATTTCTCTTTATTTCCCTCTCCCTCTGCTGTTCTTACATTTGTATCGCTATTATTATCAATATTGTTTTTGTTACTGTTATTATTATTATTATTATTATTATTATTATTATTATTATTATTATTATTATTATTATTATTATAATTCTTCTTCTTGTTCTTATTATTATTATCATTATTTTTATCATATTATTATTACTATTACTATCATTATTATTAGTATATTATTTGTTATTGTTGTTATTGTTATTACTGTCGTTGTTCTTGTAGTTGTTGTTGTTGTTGTTATTATTATTATTATTATTATTATTATTATTATTATTATTATTATTATTATTGTTGTAAAAGTTAATATAATCATCATCCTTTTTACAATTGCCATTACACTATTTTCATCATATATCTTTGTCAATGTCAATGTGTTCAAGTTGGGAACCGATCGCCATGTTTTGATGATTATTATTTTAAAGAATCTCTAGAAGTACAACGGCCTCTGTGTTTATTGTTTATTATCCACTCTTACCTGCACGCGCGTTTTTGGTTCAAGGCCTGCAACGACCTTGAACCGTCGTATTATTCTCACCAATGTTGACTCATGAAAACATTTATTTATCCTATATAATGAAGTTAGGTTTAAATATTTATTTTTTTAAAGCTTTTGAAATTGGGCGAATTCAGTTAAAGGTCAACTGGAAGGAAAAGAAAAATGCTCTTTCCAAATTACATCATATTTACTCGTGGTCATTGGAGAGCTGAAATTGTCATTAACTCATCATGGATGTAGCAGAGGCAAATGTGTCCGATCAGCAGCAGACAAAAAGCAATGTTGGGGTGCTTTAGGAACCGCTACATACAAATTAAGAAACACAATTTACTACTTTAATTATACTATGCATGTTGTCGCCAGCCTTTTTGAGTTTGAGATAAATAAAACAGAATGGGTAATCTGTTTTGAATTGCGAGATTATGTTTTTTTATTATTATTTAAAGTGCCCCCAAAACAACACGCCTTCGAGCAATGTCGAATGACCAGAATGCGTATCTTCAATGAGTTAAATCAACATGATAGATAACCCTCCAAGTAACGTATTATTAGAAAACCCTCGACTGTCCTAACCGTGTCCCTTGTATCTATCTTGTTAACTCTCAAGGATATAGCCAACTTATTAAACGTCCGATCAACAGTGGACCGACGGCAATGTTGCGGCATATTTCAAACTATCATACACAAATTGAAAACACAAATTTGCACGATATTTCATGGTAAACATTTTGGTGTGTGCCATTTTAGGTTTCAGATAAAGAAAACAGAATGTGTATGAATTACGAAGTTATGCTTTTTTATGTACAAAAGTACCCCTAACCAGCGCGTCTTCAAACCATGTCGATTGACCAGAATGCTCGTTCTGATTGAGTTAATAAGCGTTTAATTCTGTCATTCGATGAGTCAGCATAATGGTAGTTGGAGGAATCAGTAATTACGATTATGGTGATGACCACTGAGGTTTCTCTCGTTACATGGTGAACAGGTGGGTTTGCACATTGACACATGAGACATTCGTTACATGTTCTGACTGACTAGGAGAATTTGACACCTGTTTTGATCTTGGTTGGGAACGATATAACTGTGTCATAGTATTGTCTCGTTTAAAATGTTGTCCCTGAATAGGTTGTGCTGGAGTTGGCTTTGGGGGTGCCAACGATGATATGCTTTTGATAATGATATAATGCTGGGACGGCACGTGTTAAAATCTTGTGGTCGGCAATTATGGAAAACACGGGTAGATTTACACTTCGAACATGAAACATTCGTTACACAATTGTTCTGACTGACTGACTGACTGACTGACTGACTGACTGACTGGCTGACTGGCTGACAGACTGACCGAATGACTGACTGACTGATTGATTGAAAAACTGAACTATATACTAAAAAGACAAAGACGGAAAAGTTTTTTTAAAAAGAATGAATAAAATAATAAAGCTTTTGCAAAACAGAGAAACATATTGTTTCCACACCTTCAATCTTCTAGTCTCCCTTTAAGAGTGCATTAACCTTCCAGTTTTTGTCGGTGTTTGAGTATGTGTGTATAGTCTGCTTGCATGTAACCTTGATGTGCATTGTGTGTGTGTGTGTGTGTGTGTGTGTGTGTATGTGTGTGTGTGTGTGTGTGTGTGTGTGTGTGTGTGTGTGTGTGTGTGTGTTCTTAGCTAGGTAAGTCAAGCCAAATGGTACTAGATTCAGGCTTGTGATGGGTGTGGTCCATCAATAGATTTCGCTTCTGCTGAGATGGTTTATCTTGCTAATGACTATCTCATTCTTCTTCTCGCTCGCATCACTCTTGAAGTCGGTACCTATCAGGTACTGGGCCGTCCTGCTCGGTTCTTCTGTTGGCCCGTATAGCTCCTCCTGTTGTTTCAATGGGCTCAGCCATGTTTCCTGTCTCAGGGCTCAGTGTGTCCTGCACTGCTGGAGGATGTGTTCCTCAGTTTGGTCCGCCTCTCCACACTGGTACTTTGGTGATTGTACTAGTTTAAATCACCTTTACAAGTATTGTCTGACTCGTGCGTGTTGTGTTCTTAGTCTGAAGATAATCATAACAAGTACTTGGCGGGACTGCTCCATGTGGGTATCTATTATCTGACCAGAGACTATATTGCCATCGACATTGGATATCATTAAATCCAGTGTGTGCCCCACACTGGAGAGAACTGAAAGACTCTTCTTCCCGGTCATTGAAAAGAGAGGTAACTAAACCAGCAGTTGTTGTTGGTTGTTGATGTTGTTGTTGTTGTTGTTGTTGTTGTTGTTGTTGTTGTTGTTGTTGTTGTTGTTGTTGATTGTAATTTACTAAGAAGCTGCACAACAACAACCATATTTTGCTTTTGCTTGGAATGGTTCAGCATGATGGTAAAAGAAAAAAGAAAAGAAGTAAAAGTCTGAGAACTCGGCCAACAACAAACACATTACCCCCCAAGAAGAAAAGTGTTCCAATTAGAGAACGTAAGATTACAACGAAGCCAAATGTTTCAAACTTATGGCCCTATCATGGGCCTATATTATAATATTTTAGAGTCTGCACTCTGCCGTTACTTCTGAGCACTATGGAGCCCACCATTTGACTTAATTTGGAGCTAATTGCAGAGTGGAATGAAGAGGGAGTGCTGTGCGCACTCACTTCAACAGATGTAGTGTTTTGCCTTTCAATTGAGCTCACGTTTCGCAGCCAAGTTTTTAACAGAGGGCAAAAAGACAGTGCATGGTCCAGAATCTTAAATTTCAAGAGTATGGGCCCAATGTATAATTTTAACGGGAAAACCAGTTTTATACAGGCATGTGCTTTTGGTGAGTTATACACATTTAGTAGGAACAATACTAACCCCAGCCATATAGACCGACAGAGTAAAAATGTAATGGTTTTTCCACCTCTCAAGAATGCTTCCATACCAACCAGCAGTGCGAGCCTACAAAACAATAAAATTATACTCTGGGATGGAGAAAGAAGGAGACCACGACGTTGTTGGATCGATCAGAAACTGAAACCTGACCTGTCCCTAAGCCACTCGACTCGCATCTGACGGACGATTGTCTTTCCCCAGGACACCCATCACTACTATCGGA